TCTTTCAAGAACTTTAAAAAGTTCAGTGGTACTTTTACCAAAAATAATGAGTTTTTCTACCAATATGAGAAGACAAGCACACAGAAATTGCAAGATAGTAAATCCCTCTAGAAACAAAAAAATCCTAGCTCTGCCTGTACGTTTGCCGTACTGGCTCAGTGGCTAAGATGCTGAGCTTGTTGATCAGAAGATTGGCAGTTCAGTGGTTTGAATCCCTACCGCCACATAACAGACTGAGCTCCCATTACTTGTCCCAGCTTCTGCCAATCTAGCAGTTCGAAAGCACATAAAAAATGCAAGTAGAAAAATAGGGACCACTTTGGTAGGAAGGTAATGGTGCTCGGTGCACCTTTGGTGTTTAGTCATGCTGGCCATATCACCACGGAGATGTCTTCAGACAGCGCTGGCTCTTCGGCTTTGAAACGGAGCACCTCCCCTAGAGCCGGAAATGACTAGCACCCATGTGCAGGGGAATCTTTACCTTTAACCATTCCCGTTTATATCATAGTCTCCTGTGACTCTCACCCCTTCAGAAAATTGCCTACCCCTGTCATAAAGAAAGAATCTTTTCCCTGAATGAAGCAATTGGTTACATGAACCAAAGAAAGGAAGTGGCTGTTTCAAAAAGAATTGTGCATGGTCCATGAACAACATGATTATTATAAAGCTTCTTCATGAAATGGAAAGCAATGCATAATCCTTCTTGAGGGTTTTCCAAAGGGTAGGAATAGAAGTTGAATGCATTTTATTTCAGCATACAAATGCTTATATACCAGATATAATTCCACAAATTAATAATATGCAGACATACTATAAGTGATTTTCATATGCAGTCTAATACATGATTCAATTCAGCACACTTTATCCATGGTCAGATTAATTTATTTTCAAAGTTAAAAAAATTTTTGGTCATTTAGACAAGTGACATTAAATGACAATTTCTTTCAAGTTTCTACTTCTTTCCATTTTTTTAGGAAGTCCTCCAGCAACTGATCATAATGAATTTGCCAAATGTCTTAACAATTGGCAAAGATCCTCTCTCTGGTGAGTACCTTGATAACATCATGACCCCTTTTACTTTAAGCTAAATGTTTTACTATATACTGTATGAGCACATAAATACTTTATATGAATGTTGTCAGGGTTCCAAGTAACATACCTACAGCAAAGAAAACTCGGAGGCAGGTAGATTCCTCAAAGAATAGTTTTATTGGATATGTCATATTGGCACGAGCTGGTGAAAACCGACTCTAAATCCATGGTTTTCATCTAAATTAAAAGTAGAAATTTTTCAGTTTCTCAAAACAATCAGTTACACAGTCCAATCTGGATAAAGTCCAATTGCTAGGTGACTTCCCCTCCTTCCAAGCACCTGCTGGAATGTCCTTGGTTCCCAAGAGAAAGTATTTTGTTTTGGCTACAAACCTCAGCTATCCCTACTCCCTCCTCCCTATCCTTTAGCTGCAGCTGTGGCAGCATTGAAGCCTCAAAATGGCCTCAGTCAGGTCAGATTCAGGGTTGACAAATGTCTTACTTAACATTAATTTGGCAATGATGAACAGGGTATGCAGAATAACAGCATAAATTCAACATGGTGTATGTGCATGTTTCTGTCAAACAATAGAGACCTATGCCCTAAGAGTCATTTGGGGGGAATGCGTTTTCCTTGTATGTCAGCATTGTTTTATTACAGTCCTCCTAAAAAAGACCAAGGGACTGTAGAGTTGTGATTTTAGCTGCAGTTCTTCTTCCTTGCTGTTTGCTGCTAGCTTAAGCAGCAGAGAGAATGTCTATGTCTAAAGACAGGTTACCATGGCAATTTTTTGCCCTTCTGTATTTTTTCTGTAGGATTTTGCAGTGTCAGATATATTTTTCAGGGCTTGAAAAACAGGAAACTCTTTTCTCAAAATTATGTTTTAGATACCAGCGTATAATCTAAGTTGTCAGTAATAGGCATATTACACTGATAAGTAATTTTTCTAGGCTAATCAAAGAAACCACTACAGGTAGTCCTGAACCATTTATTTAACCATTGTTTGATGTTACGATGGCACTGAAAAAAAGTGACTTATGATCAGTTCTTGCATTTACAAACATGGCTACGTTCTTGCAGCCACATGATCAAAATTCAAGTGCTTGGCAGAAAGCATCTACTTACAATGACTACAGTGTCCTGAGATCATGTGATCACCATTTGCAACCTTCCCGGAGGGTTTCTGACAAGCAGAGTCAGTGGGAGAAGCCAGATTGTTTAATGACTGTGTGATTGGCTTAATGATCACAGCAAAAAAAATGTAAAATTGGACATGACTGCCTCACTTAATGACCCATCACTTAGCAACAGAAATTCTTACCTGGGGGGTGGGGAGAGCCCTATATGAGATGTTTTCTAATACAGTTTAGCATAAAGAACTTTTCTGCATCCTCAGGTAAATTTTTACTGTTTCTAATCATGGGCTATGGGGTACTGAGCAGTATTTTTGGGCAATATTTAATGATGGAAAGGTGATTCACCTACAAGGCTCACAAGATTTTATCCATCAAGGTATAAATAATTACAACTAGACATTCTACTCTTGCTTTCCCACAGGGAGAAAGATATAAATTTTAATCTGGATGCAGAAAAG